AACCTAAAAAAGCTGATGCTGATACGATCAGGCTGAAATCAAATGTTCCTTCCCTTCAAATGACCTTTCAAGGGAGTTTGAATGCAAAATGAATGTTACAAAGGTAACTATGAGATTCTGTTTTTCAGATGATGGCAGTGACCCTCTATTTGGACTGTTTGATGACAGCACACTTCAAAACCAGAGCATCAACTCTCTTGTTACAGCACAATCGACACAGGTATATATTTCAACTATTTTATTGTTTTCATTTGTTTCAGTTTTTGCAACGCTAGTAAATGTATAAAAAATATTTTTGTCTAGTTCATCCTCAAACTCGCCCCCTCCTAATTATTGTGTATTACTTAGTAACATATCATACCCCAAACATTTCAAATGATGACCAAGATCATTCATGCCAAATTCCATATTTCCTATTCCCAAATGCCACTGAAAAAGTGGAGAAAAATGAAAATGAGTAAAACTTTGAGAAAATGTCAATTTCATGGTGAAACCTCAGAGAATTAAGTGTCTAAGATCCTAGAGATGTCCGGAGCATGCATGCAATCCTATCCCTTTGTAGAAGTTATCAGTTATGTTAAAGTGTTAACTTTTAAGAAGTACTGCAGTGTATTACATATATGCCAATGCCATATTTTATTTAGGCATGTTCTTTGTGGGTTGAAGGGCCACTACTATCTCTAGATGAGACTAGATCTCTTGCAAACATTAGATAAGGAGGGACTTTGATAAATAAAATCAGTGTTGTGATACCATGGTATTGATTTATTACTATTTTCAGTTGAAAGTGACACCAACAAATGTTGTACAGGCGTCCCTGGTGACTGGGAGCCCACAGCAGGTGGTTCAAGTCCAGCAGCCCCATGGGTCTCCACTTACCCAAGTTACACCTGGCTCTCTTACACAAGTCCAGCTCCAAGGATCCCCAGTCATCTACCAACAAGCTGTGCAATCCAACATTAGGTATGCTGTGTTACCATAACCCAATATTCTACGCTTGCATCAAGCTCATGTCTTCTCCCTCTTTCAATCATCATCTTTACTTGGGGAAGATAATTTAGGGGAATTAACCTTCATAGTAACAATGCTTATAATCATTAGAAGATGTATAATATTTACAATATCTAATCTTGTATTTCAACTTGCCTATCTTCCACAATTAGGTTTTGGTGTATATAATAGATAAGGGAGTAACTTTTGTAGTTACTGTCCCAGTCTCAAGAAGATTCAATACATGGTGTACATTTAATTTGTATATGTAGTCATACAGCAAGTAATGATCTCCCCTTCTCTGTACTCCCTTTATAATCCACTACATTGATAAAGAGAATTATAGGCATAGATTACTAAATATCTAACAACCAGTTCATCCCATTATATTTTCAGGTCCCCTGCAAACAGGCAACATTTACAAATCCGTCCCAAGCCATCACCCTCAACCCCCAATATGAAACAACAGGCTGTTACTAACAACCCTGTTATACAGATAGGAGGAGGAAATGCTGCTAACATAGGTACATAATACACACAACCTATTAAGGCCATTCACTTGTTTAGTTGGGCCTCCAGTAACTATTGTTGAAGATTAAGGACTTAATCATTTTTCTTGATTTTTGTTGCTTTGCTCAGCAGTACCTACCGTACTTGTTCAACCTAAAACTTCCATGGTAAAAATTTTTTCTTCATTGAAAAATTTTACAATTTTTTCTGGCATTTTGATTCATTGCAATTTTAGAATAAAAAAAAATGAAGTTATTATTTTTTCAAGAAGTCTGTTTAAACCAACTATTAATTTGTACCACGCCCCACAATTGACCATGTTTTCTTGACCAATCCAAGAAATATTTCTTAGAAAAAGATATATCATCCATAGATTCATAACATTTTTGAAAAAATCCCCGATTTTATGACCTATTCATGTTTGCTTTACAAGGGGTGAGACTAAACACATATGTGTTTTATTGTAGTGGTCCCATCTGCCAGTGGCCAAGCTGTCTCTCTGCAACATATTCAGCCTGCCCAGGCTACCACGGTAAGAAATGATAAGAACAATCTTCATTTATTGCATTTGGAATCATTGTTCATTGTTGATCCCTGTATCAATAAACCTTTGATTTCAGCTAAACCATTGAAAATCTGGATCCAAATAATTTGTCATTCAAACTAATAAAGCATTTGTAAACAACTACAAACAAGATTGATGTAAGAAATCCAAAATAATGCAGAATATCTATAAACACGCTGAATGATATGTTTGAATTTTTTTCATTTGAGTCATGTGCATTTATTGTTATAGACCATCATTGGTTAAATGAGCCTCAAGATAGGAAAACCGGTCTTATCACAAAAATTAAAATTGTGCTCGAGAGCCAAAAATGTGCCCAAGATTAAGAGGAAAATGTGCTAAATTCAAATCCGTCCTTTTGGTCTTCATCTGCAAAGAAATATTGTTAAGACATAAGATATGGCTCATTTGAAAGGTCTCTTTGTGCTTTTTAAGATAAACAAAAAATCAATATTTTGATTAGATAAGAGCCCCTTTCCTGTGGCCTGGCTAAAATGTTTCTCATATCTCCCTTTAGTTGACATAGTTATATAAAATGAACATTGTTTCCAGGTACAGCAAATACAAGCTGGTTCCAAGCTACAGATGCCTGCCACAATCCAGCTTGCCAACTCTGGGACGACAATCCAGGGCCAGGGTAACACTAACATCCAAATAAAGCCCCCACAGTTGAACCTCCAGGGTACCATAATACAAACTTCCCAAGGTAATAGGATACTGATCCAGAGTCAACCCACACAGGTGAATGTTCAACAGTTTGTGCTACAACAAGGTGCTCAGAAGTCGAACAATGTACAATTTGTGACTAATTCAAACACGAATGCTATCCTGCCGAATAATCTCATGCAAAACCAGAATGTGTTAAAGACTAGTGTTGTTGGCGGGGCGAACAGTGTATTGAATACCCAGGCTAACCCACAAGGACAACAGATTGTGTTGCAACAAGGAGCCCAGCCTGGTCAGTTTGTGGTCCAGCAACCCTCGCAACAAGCATCAAACTCCAATATCATAGTGAAACCTAACACAGTACACTATCAGCCTCAAACAACGATCGTTAACATTCCAGCCCCTGTTCAAGGTCAAGGTCAACCTTTACACATCACTCAACCTAATATGGTGACTATGACTGTAGCGTCTTCTAACAGCACTCAGGGGCAACAGACCCAACATGCTTTAGCCACTCAACAAGTGATAGCCACTCCACAGACTGGTACAACTAAACCTATTGCAACTAATTCAAGTGGTGTTGTCACTCTAAATATAGGTGGTAAATTAATCAATGTTCCCATACAACAGCTGCAGAATATTAAGAATCTGTCTCAGGGGCAACCGACAACAGTTGTCAGTTCCACCGAGGCACAACCTCGTCTCCAGATGGTTCAAACCACTAAACAAGTGTCGAGTCTACCCCAGGTCACAGGGACCCAAGTTAAAGCTACTCAGCAAAGCCAGCCTAATATCTTATTACAGGGAACTCGTGGAGGTATGGCACCCACAGGGAACAGCAGTACTGTCAGTGTGAACAATAGTACTGTCAATCTGAATAACAGTACTGCCAGTGTGAATAATGGTACTGTCAATCTGAACAACAGTACTGTCAGTGTGAACAATGGTACTGTCAATTTGAACAATAGTAATGCAATAAACAGTCATATGCTTCTTAATAACAGCTCGAATCAACGAATTCAAACCCCGGCTGCATCAAATCAGCCTGCTTTTGTGCAACAGACTTTCAAAATGGAACCTCAAAAGCAATTAAACCCTGGGATTATTCCACAGAACCTTATGACGCTGGTTACTGAAAGCCACCAACCTCCCCAGGGGTTGTACAACCAAAAGCCTATAACTATTCCTTCAGTAGGCGCACCCAATAAGAACATAACAGTTTCTAGTGCCATTCAACATAATGACATATCATCAACTCAGGAGCAATCTAAGGTATTACTTCCTCAGTCAACTACAGCTGGTACTATTCAGTACAGACCCATTGTTACCATGACAACAACATCATCCTCATCCCCCACCCCCAACCATGTGCAGAACTCCCAGAACCAACCCCAACAGCAGCAAATAATTCCACAGGCAGTAAACATCAAGACCGTACAAAACTCTGAGGCAGCCAGGCAATACATCTCTCAGAATTTGCCACAAGCCACCAAACGATCCTCTATGACTTTGCAAGAGGCTATCAGCAAGGTAGAACTGGAGTTAGCCAGTTTGAATAGAGTAAGTTTTATGTTAGTCGTTCTTAATATTGAAACACTTCAGTTGTGCGTTCTGTTTTTTTAGTGTAATCTTCAATTCAGACATTTGACATACTAGTTCATAAATTCTATTTTTCCCAACCAATGAAAAAATCAGAATGAATTTGCAATTAATTTTGGGCAATGAACTAGTGCTTCTGGCACACTTGCTATTTGTGCTTCCTCACCATTGCATATCATTACTGAATGCTTCTCAAACTAGGTGATCACCAAGACGAAGCACCAAGAGACAACCCATGCACAGCTGGTGAACATGCACAAACAACTGATGTTGAAGAAACAGGTGGTGCTTGCCCAGCAACACCAGCAGCAAGTGGGCAAGGTTCTAACACAGCAACAGCTTTTGAACCCTCAACAGCAGTTGAATCAGCAACAACAGCAATTGAATCAATCATCTCAGCAACAGCAGTTAAATCAGTCAGCACAGCAACAGCAATTGAACCAGGCTGTACAACAACAGCTTAATCAGCAAACACAGCAATTGAATCAGCAAACACAGCAAACGAATCAGAGCACATCACAGATGAATCAGCAAACACAACAACTGAGTCAGAATACACTGCAGTTGAATCAACAAACTCAGCAAACACAGCAAATGAATCAGCAGCAACACATTTTATCTCAGAGCCAAGTAAGAGTTGATTATCATTTTTATTATTTAATACATAATACTTTGGTTTTAGGTTTATTGTTGCTTTTTGATAAAATTAAGATACAATTCAAGTGCAATTCATGTTGAAATATTTAACGCCTCTTTCACATTTTTAGAGTGGTTTAATAAACCAACAAGCAAGCAATTCCGCCTCCCAGTTGTCCCTAGTTGGCAGCAAACCCTCTTTCCCAACAGGCATTCAGTCAGAATTACCAAGCAACTCTCTGCCTAGGCCTGTGAAGCTGACACAGCCAAATGGGCATGTTGACTCTCCACCTCAGATTGTGAAGATTATTAAACCATCCAGTGTAGGTGCTTCTCAGAACAGGTGAGAATAAAAGAATGATTGTATATCTGTCTAAAGGTATTTTAAAGATTTTGGAGATCAAACCCAATTTCTGACTAAAAGGTACATGGAGTTCTAGCTCATTGGCTAATCTTACAACGCAAGTGCAAAAAATCATTTTCAAGAGACTTTGTGTGAAAAGTTGACAACATCAGTAAAATATCTTAAGTTATATATGAGAAATAATCTGAAAAAAATATTCAAAAATTTGTGCTTTAATTTGTTATTGTTAACACATTAATACATTTGTCTCTTTCAGTATGTCTGACATTAGTGTAGTAAACACCCCACCCCAGCAGATGAGACCTGTTACCATGGCAACAACCACCACACAAAACTATTACCAAGTTATAACAACGACAAACTCCCCCATAGCCAATACACTGGCATCTAATGGAACAGTACAAGTGGCTCCTGGTCTAACAAATACTGTTCCAGTTGTTGCTAATGCTGCCCCAGTTGTCGCTAATGCTGTTCCAATTGCTTCTAATGCTGTATCAAATGCTGCTAATGTTGCACCAACTGCTACACAAATAAGAGTGAGTTAGACATATTTAATAGAATATTCTATGCTAGTATATCCTATTCTATGCCAAAGTATATCCGGGAATTCAAAAGAGCACCTAAAGAATTCCCGGGAATTGCTGATGAGCAGGTGATATATATATCTCCCGCTCACCTCAGCCGGAGATAATATTTATCACCCGCTCACCTCAGATATCGATTATATTCCCGCATGTTATTTACCTATAACACTACTAAGTATGGGATAAATAGAGATTATCATATATGAGGTTCAGGATATTGGGATTATCCCAAGGCCAATATAATACATCTGCCTGAGGGCCATATGCGAACAGAACAAAAATGCACCAACATGCGAACAGCATAATGGGCAGATATAATATATCTGCCCCCTCAGGCTGGGACATAAAGCTATATCCGCCTGCTAATGGAAATATAGGTTTTTACAAACCTGTTTATGTACCTGAAACACATCCAAGTATTGGATGAAAATAGTTATTTTATATTAAAGATTTCTTGAGAACAAAAGCTAATACTGTTTCTGCAAAATAAATCCCTGAAGATAAAAAATTTGGCTGCAATCCTAATATTTCAATATCAACTGAATTAGCAATGCGAATATTGTACAGGTAATATACTTTTATCATGGAAGATAAATAGTAAACCCTTTCTAATAGATTGATTTTGCTTATTTAAAAGAGAGCTTCATCTGCACTCTATGAGTCTGAGATAATCTAGCTTTAACCAATCATAAAACTGAGAATAGGTCGATCAAAATCAGCCAGCGAATCAGAACTGCTGTCGTGACATTTAATGCCTGGCATTTTTTCATGTTCAAACTCTTATTGTAAATGCCATGCATCTACTTTGGGGTCTTGAGATATTAGCTGCATTAAAACTGTACAACTACTCAGACCATAGTCCTGGTCCCTGTTTCTAGCTTCTGGGGAAGATTAATAAAAACATTCTTTGGGTTCAAAAAATATTTTATTTCTCAGGTTGGCAACCAGGTTCTTAATGTGAACATGACCCAGGAGAATAAGGAAAAGTTGGAAGCTAAGTTAGCAGCTCTAAGTCCTGAACAGCAGCAGATGTTTATAAAACATCAACAGTTGTTGGCTCTGAGGCAGCAACAGAAGAGAGTTCAGAGTATACAACCAAAGATTCCACTGACAGTACAGGTATGCATTCATTAGAACTTTTTTGGCTTGCTCTAATGGCATATTTGAATGATTTGTTTGGCTGCCACATTTGGGTATTTTTGGGGGAATTGATCATAATTGATCTTCAGTAAAACCTGTGTACGGTGAACACCTATGGAGCCACAAAAATGTGTTCAATGTAGGTAGGTGTTCACTACAGAGAGGGTGATTTATACAGAAGTCAGTAGAGTATGTGCGGAGGAAGAGTATCTACTAGAAACAGGTATTCACTACAGAGAGGTGATTTTATACAGAAGTCAGTAGAGTATGTGCGGAGGATCGTATCTACTAGAAACAGGTATTCACTAGGGAGAATGTTCACTAAGACAGGTTTTTCTGTATATTCTTAAAAGGATTCCAATGATCACTCTGGCGGTTGTATAATGGAAACTGGAAAGGCTATAAATCAGTGTGCTGATCCAAAAACGATTGTAAATTAATACTGAATACTAGTAATTATTTTAATTACTTTTTGGATAAATACTAACTACAATTAATTTATATTTACTCCACAAACTATATCTGCTTCCAGCAAGTCCAGGTTGGTAGTACTGCCAGCAAACAGATAGTTATACAGACTCCAGGTACAGGTGGAGTCATCAGCCGTATTCAGAGAGCTCCTGGTCTTCCTCAAGTAGTCACTAAGGCTGGTCTGTAAGTACAATCAGTGTTAGAAAGTTCGTATATTTGTTAGCATATTTAAAATGCAATGATAACAATACTCAATTAGATTAGATTCAGTCAAGTAAAAGCAGTCTAGAATGACTTGTCTTTTGTCTATTGTCTAGTATTGAGCATTTTTGAAACATAGTTTTTCCCATTTTTAAATGGGTGTAACTGGGTTTTCAGATGGGTGCAAGCCTATTTGCAAAACTTTGAGTGGGTGCAGGACCCACTTGCTTTAATGCTAGGGGAGAACCCAGTCTTTACTCTTGTACAATAACATGTAAATTTAAATATCTTAATTTCCATGTGAATACAGGTTGAAGCAGTACCTTCAAAAGGACCAGCTGAATGTCTACAAACAAGACAACAAAACTCCCTTTAAGCACTACAAGGATGCATGTAAACGTCTCCTTAAGTTCCATGTCTGGCAAGGCAACGAGCCAGGAGAGGAGGAGTTTAAGAAGGCAGATGAAGCCCTGGAGGAGGTTGGCCAAAGCCTGTTGAAGAAGAAACAAAGCATGTTTGATAAATACCAGAAGTTGCTCTATGATGATGCCATGGTGAGTATTTGCTACTCTTAAGATTTGGAGGGTTGACTACTCTCACATTTTCTCAATTCCTTGCTGTAGAAGAGGCGTGTGCTCATGGTTCACAAGATATTCACAAATTAGAATTAGGTTTATATTATAGCAAACACTGCTCTATTGATCCATGCTGTGAACAATGCTGAGAAAAACATTTCAAGAAGATGTATTTAGCATATTGAGTAGCACTGTCTCATGTTTACGATAACAGATAAAAATATTCACATTGGCACCTGTTACAGAGAGAGCAGATCTCATCAGAGGGGGTCATGATTCAACGCCTTCAGCTCAGTGATGAGAAGACAATCTTTGAAGAGGAACAGAAACTCGTCAAAGAAGACCCAGGTACAGTGACACCTATAACCTGCCTGTTTTGGTTATCTAATTGGCTAATATCCTCTTTCAATTCCTTCACCTGATTTATTCATGCATTTTTCAGTTTTATTGCATTTCATTTCAGACATTTTGGATAATTATATGTACATACAAAATATATAATTTTAATGACTGGTATTTGAGCTATTGCTTCATTTTGCCACCGTGATGGCTGGTGATATAGTAATATCTGCAGTAATGCTGCACACAGTAGGAATTTATATTAAGGATGTTCATATTTAAAATTTCAAGGTAGAACTTGTCAGTTGGAACCTACTGAAATTGTCCTTATCAAAAATGAATAATGGTTTAGCCAGAGAAGAACTTGTGCTTTTTAGAATCAGGAAAAATCCTATGGAAAATGTGAATGATACAGTATGTTATTTGTCTTTCAGATCAATTCAAGCCATTCCTGTTTAAGAAACCAGAGAAGCATGAGTCTGTTAGCAGTGTGGAGAGTGAGAGCAAACATAAGCCAGACAATTTAGCTGATCTTCTCTCAGATAGTCATTCCGACATAGTGGAAGTCCCTCCAACATCAATAAATCAACATATAAAAACTGAACCTGGAATCAAGCAGATAAAAACTGAGCCTGAAATCAAGCAGGAAATGAAAGATGTAAAAGTAAAGACTGAGCAGGGCATAAAGACTGAATCAGAAATCGAAATTGCAAATGAGGAAGTGATCATAAAAACTGAATCCCCGTCAGATTCAAATGTTGATGAGGATATTGACGATTATGCTCCTTTGGTTAGAACGTTAAAAACAGAATCAGGAGGCACAATGAAATTAATCATTAAGAACTCACCTAGACCACATTCCCCTGCTCCTGATATTAAGGCGGAACATGTTAATGTTGAAGCAAATGAAGTTGTTGAAGATGAGCCCATGAAAAAGACTGATAGACCTGTAAGTGTACTCAGTAGCTCAAGTGACAGTCTTGACAATACACCCCTAGATAAACGATTACACCTAAAGCGCAAACTTAGCACAGATTCCGAGTCAAATTCAGTCAGTGCTGGCAGTGAGCATGAATTACCTGATAAACGAAAGACTGAATCAGATATTGCGGTCGAGGGGCTATTATCTATGGTGCTGCCACCTGAGCAGGAGGTGGTTGAAGAAGAGGTAGTGATAGAAGAACCAGGTGAAGTCCCATTCACTGAGTTCCAAGAGGACCAACAGGCTATTGGCAGCATAACAAATGACTCTAGTGATTTCTTCAATAATGATATTGTCTTCGACAGTGAATACAATCAAACTGATCTCTATCATCATGACCATCGGACTAATAGCTCAGATCTCATAACAACTAACTTAGATAACTTAGATGATGAAACACCCCATGTTGGCCAAGATGTGCACACTGAACACATAGAAATAGACTCTGAGGATAGTGAGTCTGATAGTGATGATTCAAATGTTAATGATACTGATATGTTAAGTGAACAGGTTGTTGATCAACAGGATGGTCAAGATGGTGGGTCTCTGAATGAACAAGTCCAAAGTGCAATAGACAGTATCTTGAGTCTTCAGAATTTCACTGGAGGCACTGGTCACCCTAGTATTACAGAAAACCCAAATGACCTTGACCCATCTATGCTAGACTTGCAGCATTTTGCTACTCAGCCTCATTTTGACGAGGTTCAAAATGAGACTGATTTCACCAGCCAGCCTCAAATTGAAATTGGTCAGGACAGCACTGTTGATGAAGAACATGGAATTGAGGATGAACAAGACATGGCTATACAAAGTATACTGATGTAAGGGAATGCACCAATTGTCAAGGATGTCTGTTATTATTGATACTGTACTCTGATTCTCATAAATAACTACCTGATATCAGATTAGGTTGTCTCAAAATAGAAAGTAGTGGTGAAAACAAAGAGTGATTTCATACTTGAAACGTTTACAATCAAAATTTTCTAGAGATTAGAATTCATTCACTAAGGTAAACCATGTAGAAAAATAAATTTTTTTCGGTTAGAATTGTGCTCAGTACAAAGAGAAAATAATGAAGTAGATGAGTTAAATTAAAATTATTTTACACCTGCTGATAAGCAATATACTTGTCTGTGTGATAATATACTTTAGTACAGAAATCCAATGATGAAACCATAATATATTTTGGTATAGAAATATCAGATAGAATAAGATACAGATCTTCCAGAATTTCCTATGGTTGTGAAAAATATGTACTTCTGAAACTGTAAATGTACGTTCAGAAAGTCAGTTCCTGTTTGCATAATATGTGCTGTAATGTAGTGACTTAGCCAAAATGACTGGAAATGAGTATGCAATAAGATAGAGAAATGTTTGGAATATTTTTGATAATAGATAGTTTAGAATGGGCAGATTCAATACAATGATTCCAAATGTGCTTGCTAGTATTATATGAAGCATGTGATTATGCCTGGGTCACATTTGCTCCGATCCATCGGCCGGCGCCCAGCCGATTGAGTGGTTTTTTTTCAATATTGTATTCAATTGAACAAATTACCCAATCACCCGGGCGCCTTAGTGAAAATCGGAGCAAATGTGACCAAGGCATGATACTATGTTGGCGTCACATGGAACCTGGACTATTAAATGCTGGAGTATTATATTTAATTGGAACTATTCATTGAGGTTATCAGAATTGTTCACTCAAGTTTCTTGAGAGCATGCCAACAACATATTTTGAAACTACTGTAAAATGTGATTTGTGAAAATTAATTGTCTTTAAAGTATAATGCTATACCTTGAAAGATCAGTTGAAAATTGAAGTTGTGATTATGAGAAGCATATCATTGAATTGGTCATTTATTATGTGCATCGAGAAGAATTTTGAATGGGATTATGAATTCGTGATACTTTCAAGAAAGACTGTTAGGTACATGAATGATTTTGTGTTTATCTGATTAATCTCTTTCTTGGGTTAATCACTTGGGCCACTGTCATCAATTAATTTGATGTTCTCATGTTAATTCTTGGATTGCATTGTCATTTTTAGAAGCAAGTTATAAAAAAATGATTTCACCATCTGTAATACTTATTTGCAAGATTAAGTACATTTTCTACACTACCTAAGACATTATTGGTTGAAATTGGTCATGTGGCTCTGCATATGTCCTTGCGGTTTGGGTAAGGAGGTAGTGTAAAAAGTGTATCGTCGCCTGTTATTGCTCAGACTGTAGTATGCATCTCTGAATGACTAAGATCATGTACAAAGTCCATTAAATATTATATATGATACAAACACGATGCTTTAAATGTTGTTTTTATATTCAATATAAAAATATCAATGAAATGTTGATTTAGCAAACTGTATTTGTACGATTCTCTATTTTTATTATTTTGTTACATCTGTATATAATTCAAACTCTTTAGCACTCATGCAATCTCCAAATGTAAAACTTTGAACAAGGAGGATAATATTATGCTGGATCTCAGAGTCCCGCATTTGGAGGTTGGTCTTATGAGTGGTATACAAAAAAAGCTGGAAGTTTAAATGCTAACCTATTTTTATATTAAAAAAATTATTTCCTGGTTTAACAGGATATGATATAATATATCACCCAGGGTCATTCTCAAAAATATAATGTGATTTGTGAATTCTTGATTCTTTCGAGAAAGGCCCTTGCTTATTCTTATGTGATCTCATGATTCAATCCTGTGGTACTCGGAACTTATAAGCATAGGTGGTTAAGACATGAAACTCCTCTTAAAGAGTAACTCTGGACTTTGGGTCATAAAATGTCTTGAAAATAATGTAAAGCCCAAAATCTTTGCTATAGAAATGGAAATAGATGAAAACAATATACAAACCATACAATGTTTTTTTTGTTCTTGCATCTGCTTTTGAATAACTTCATAAGTCATAGTACCAGTACTTGAAGATTGTAATGTCTTCTTATACCTCTTGAAGAAAAGTTACATCATATATTGCATCCAGTTTAAAATTCATTCACATTCTGTGGAAGGGGTTAAAAATTCGAATATTTTGAACCAAGTTGAAAAAAAGCTAGAGACCACAGTAATTGATTATTTAGATAGTGCTGCCATCTTGTACTCTACGAGAGAGATATTTAGTGGATAGCCATATGTATAGTTTGTTGAACCAATGGTACAGAGATTTTGACAATGTTACATTTTTTAATGTATTTTTTCCAATACATTTCAAGCTTGTGTCCATTTGTTTATGTATGAACAAGACACAAATAAAAGTAATGAATTGTGTTGTGCTTCAAATGAGTCTGAATGGAAATGTGAGCATTCTTCTTTCAACATGTTATTATGTCTCATCATCTTAGTAAATTAATTAGAAATTCAAGATACTATATTTTTTAATTCCTTTGAATTTTCAGAATTCTTACCCAATGATTTAAAAACCAAAGTATTTTGATGAATTCAACTACCTCTATTCTGAAAATCAAAAAATGAAAAGTGGAAAATGAAAAATTTCTGCAAATATTTTTCAAATTATTTTCTCGCAGAAATGGACATAATTCAGTTTTAGATTCATGTGTATTACATGAAACATTTACAAAATCATAATTCCATATCAATATTTTTTCGCTGGTGACCTAATCACTTTCATTAATTCTTCCTAGGATAGTTCATGTATCATTAAAGAAACATTAGCTTCTAGCAATAGTTGTACTTTTTCACATAGGGTCTTCCAACACATTTTCAGGGGTTTCATTCACCAAACAATAGAAAATGACAATGTAGCTGCACAAAGCCTTCGGTTTTATTTAGGCAGTCGTTTCCTCGCTTCCAGCTGTTTTACAAACTTGTGTAAATCATTAAAAGTGAAAGATTTTAGCCTGAATAATGTTCCAAAATTCATTGATGTCCAATAAGTGCTGTTGTTACTGTCACAGAATCTGGTGGTTACATTTCATTATCTACACTAGTTGTTGTTCTTATTGACAAATTTGTTTGTTGTTTTAACGAGGGCTGGTTACAATAATATAACCGGAGGCTTGTTCATATTTGCCCATATTAAGTATCTGGATATTTCTGAATTATCACTTGATGGCTGAAAAATGTCGATATAAATATATTCAAATACAATAATACTTTTAAACACAAATGATTATCAAATGAAATAAATTTATTTTCAACTTTTAAGAGCTTGAAATGATGGAATGCATCTTCTTGTTATTTATGTGATTCTTTTCTAATGAAACAACACGGTGAGACAAAGCCTAGAATATCTAAGTACCTCTACAGGCAAAACTGCCGTGAGGATCACAATGTATGTTTATCTGGATACAAGTCATAATATCTAATGATAAACTCTGAAAGATATAAGCAAATAATTAGCGTACTAATTAGCGTGTGTAAGTTTGGTTTCTATTGATACTGGAGGCTTATAAACATTAAGAATGTTGGAAAAACACATGTTTTCCGCTTATAGATTGCCCCTTCCAAAATTGGACTGTTTGAATTGTAGCCCAGTTCATGTCAAATTACCAAGTCAACTAGGAAACAATGTTTTTCAACCAAAGGCTAATGATGAATAAATATTTCCACCGTGATCATTAACAAGATTTTGTCATATATCCCCCTAATGATGCAACAGGGAAATTTCTCACACAGTCCATGTAAGAAGCAGTTTTATGTTGCCCTTTGAGCTTTCTAAACCATCATTCTATTTTTTGTTACCGTATATAAACAGTTAATCTCTAAATTTAAATCAAAAGAAGCACAAGTTTCGATATATATAAAGATGGGTAATTTTCAGTAAACGTTGAATTCCTTTTTGTAGCCAAGAATCATCAAACAAAAGAATAATTGAAGGATAGAAAGAAAGAAATACTGTGACCTTTGGAGAAAAATGACTTTGTTTTGTTATTTCTACAAACAAGCTGAATGTGGAAATAATCTTCCATTTTTAATTCCTGTCACGTCAAGTTTATTTAAAACCCAAAAGGTTATATTTTCTCTAAGAATTGATGTTATGGAAATCAAAATAATATGCATTAATTAACCTAATCCACTATTCCAATCAAATAAAAATAACATTGCACAATTATTTGGGGTTTTTGTCTATTAGAGGTTTTTCATTGAGAGAACAATATATTGGTGAATTTACAAGTATATTTATTTCAACCTGTAGTTAACAGCTAGTGAGTTTTAATTGCATGCAAAATATAAATCTGTAGGTATTGTTATTTTAAGCTATGTAAGAGAAAGTCCCCCATTGATTATAGTTCCCTATAGTCCCCTTTATACATGGCCCTTACTGACCCTGATGAGTAAAAACTACATGTACTCTTTTTTAATAAAGCTATATTCCAAGAATACACATATATACAATTACTCATAGTTACATTGTTTAACATTCATTTTTTGAATATTTTTGAAAATGAAAAAAATTGAAAAAAAGAAAAACAAACTACCTCACATGTAATAAGGATTGAAAATGTTAAATATACACCAATGGAAAGGATCAGGAGAGCCATTATATTTAGGGTAGAACCTTTGGATTTACATCCAAGCATTTAAAACCATGTGAAAAAGAGCATTGATGAAACACCAACACAATTGTTGTAGCAAACAACGAATCATGCCATTATGAGCATATTTAATTTAAAAGTTTATGAGTTTGCGTTGAACATGAGATAAATAATACTAACGGTATTTAGAATAAATCATAAGCTGACCTTTTCAAAAGCACAGTTGGTCAAGCAATTATTACTTTTTGATTAATGATATCTGTTTATTGAATGAAATATGTTTACTCAATATCATTTTAGTCATACAATGCAAGTATGCTTTTGTTGAATATAATATCCACAATTTAACATTTATATCTGAATTTTGCACTGTACAGTACATTTTAATCTTGTGTTTCTAAATAAAGGTTGATATCATTTTCATATATTTTATTTACCAACACTTTTGTGGAATTAAATCCAGAGCAGCTTTGATTGAAATAACAACATTGTTCAAGATACCCTGTGCGCAGAGTCTAGTTATGAACTACCATCTGCCTAGTATAGACAAAATTACAGTTGAGCAGCCCCGTCCCTATGACTGGTACCCCTGACAGCCTGGGGTGACCTGTTCACAACCAATCAGCAAGCTGGAAGGATGCACACTAAATATATCCTTATTAACTATGTGATTACATCAGAGGAAATGACCATATATAGTGAGTCGTCCATATTTCGATGACAAACTCTGATTGGCTAGGTGAGTTCAGAGATTTATTGAAAGAGTGAAGATGAAGCTCTCTTTTAAGAAATGTAGTCAAACAAATGCAAAGGGTACGTTCAAGAAAGAATATGCAAAGCATATGACCAATTAGTTTCCTATTTAGAAAGTGTATGATTAAGAGACTACATACACTGTATGACTAAATATGCAATAGTCATTTAACAAAAGTTTGATATAGTTTATAGGGTAATAGTTTGTTTTGTGTTTTTCTAATGTTGCCCCTTTTGATAGTAATGACTTGTTTAGTATTTA